TTCAATAATAAAATTTAAAATAATATCTCCAAAAAACAAAACAAAACCTATAAATTTCTACTCATGTACTTTCCTTTAAATTCTCTACTTTACCCTAATCTTCTTTATTTTATTTTTTTCTACTCACCTCCACTTTATTCAATTCTTCTTTACTCTACTCCTCCCTACTCTAATCTACCCTTTTCTATACTTTATTCTATTAAATCCCCGCAAAACAAAAATTTCTCTCCCGATAAACGTTATTTAAAAAAAAAAATATATTTCCTATTCAAAATCATCATATAAGTAGGATTTAGGTCATTAACCACAAGCCTTCAATAAAAAATATTATATAATAAAATTTCCCGCAAATATAAGATAAAATAAAAACCTACGAAAAATATCCTATCATACATCTATATAAGGCATTCCTTTTTACGTCATAAAAAAAATTCAAATTATTTTTATGTTTAGTAATCTTTTTGTCTAATAATAGTAGATTATTTATATAAATAATCTAGAGGAATAAAAATTCCCTAAATAAATCCTAGTCCCAGTCCAAAGCATCGTACCATTGCGATTTGCATCAAAAATTCAACATACCCCAAAACATATAACGAATTTAGAATGAGGTATCTAACAGCACTTCCCATAGACACAATCATTACGAAACGACTTCAAATAAGACGAGTAAGGTCTACTACCCAGTATCTTTTCGCACACCTAGATCTTTTTTTTTCTGAGACTTTCTCTTTTTGATCTTATTTCTATCTCTTCTCTAATTCTTCCCATCTTTACTTTTTAATCTGCCCATATTGTAGAAGTTTGTCTTCTAAAATTCCTTCGAATATTTATCTTCGTACTTCAGCTTTCATTTTAATAACATCTTGCCTCTTTCACAAAAATAATAATAACTATTTCATTTTCCATCGTTATCATTGCCTTTTCTTCTATCTATAATGTTTTTGTTTATATTTAGATTTAAGTACCTTGCTCCTGTACGCTCTCAGGTCATCCGTCGTTTAGTTTTTTCTTCTAATATTTATCAAAAAATCATTATATTAATTATAATTTTTGCTTTTGGAAATATTTTTCAGGTTTAGTCTCTGGCTCAGGCTCAGGCGTCCTTTCAACATTCAAGGTGCTGTGCTTTGAATTCCCAAACTTTCAAAGCAAAGCCAAGTAAGTGCAATGCAACTCCAAAAGTCCTTCCGTCTATAGAGGTAAAGATAACCTGGCAAATCAAAGTAGTAAGCACCAACCAATGAACATAGTTTCCCAACAAAATGCTTGCCAACTGCTTGAAACTGGCATCGCTTCCAGTCAAAATGAACAAGCTTTGAAAGATGTTGAAACTGCCAACAATTTGCCCGCTCAATAGGTCCACATCAGGGATGTTTTTTTTCTCCATTCTAAGGGGATGGCCCAAATCCAATGGTGGAGCTTCGGATTTCGCCACCTGGCGGGAGCTAATCGAAGGCTAGGCTTTTGTGGGCTACGGGAGATCCAACCTTGGCAGACTTTTTGATTCATATTTTTTGGGACGGCGGCTCAACCCCATGCCTTGCTATCATCAAAGATCACCCAGGAGCCACCCTCACCCCGTCGCCTCAGTTGCCGCAAAGGGATCTACAACGTGGGTAATTATTGGCATATGAATATCACTATTTCTTGCGGTCTTTTTGAACCATCCTTATTCCCAACAGCGAATCTATTGCATTTCAGTCTCTGGGGCCGGGCGCCCCGAAAAACCGGAACAGTCCTGGAACCTTGCTGGAACCTTTCACTGTTGGGTTGCCATGATGCCTTTCATAAAGGCATTTAACATACCGCGTCCCACAACAAGTGACTGAGGGAAGTGCATGTGGCAAACATAATGCCCATGAGAGGTGTGCTTTCCAATGTGGGACACAAACCCCAGGAGTTCGTACCTCGCACTTCTGTTCGAAAACTGCACCAATTCGCAATGCTGAGATCAACAGTAGGCAGCTGCTGTAAACCCATTAAAAAAATCAATGCTAGATTCAGCCTAACCATGAAACGCCAAGTAGTTCATCCATTTTCATGCAATCTTTGTTTGAAGATGTTTGAAGCTTCCAACAGGCATCATCGCTGGGCACTCGCCCACGCCATCTTCATTGTCCACTCGACTCGGCCCGGCCTGGAGCGCCAGGGAGCACTGAACCCAACGGTGGCAGGAAACAATCCATTTTTTGCTGGTCTTATCGTTGTTTTTTGGGAACATTTCTAGGGGTTCATGGAATGGGCAAAGAGTTGCCTACACTTCCACTTTTTGTCTTGCACCATGGATCAAAATAGCGTTGAAACAACCCCTGGAAGACACGTTGTCCATGGAGAGTTTTGTCCGCTTCAGTTCTTGAGCAAAACCATGTCCAACTTCATGTCACACTTCGTGAAAAAATGGAAGTATGTTTAAAGTTTAGCCAGGAAAGATCCCGACCCTCGAGGGAGCAAGGGTGAGATCGGGTTTCCACATATAGCCCTGTAGATTCTGAAGATTTAACTTGCCAGCCTTCAGCAATCAGTCATCAGTCGGTCATCCCCTCAGTTTTGCCCAGCCACCGCTGTGCCACTGCCATTCACCGCAGCCACGGCTGCATCCAGATCGTCTGCATGTGAGAAAAGCCTTGGGAGGTAAGCCGTGGGAAAGGACCCACATCAAAATGGTGTACTGACAACCACGCAAATAACAGTTGCTCATGGACATGTCCCTGTAGGATTTCCACGATCATGATCATGATGATGATGATGATGATGATGATGATGATGGATGATGGTGGTGATGGTGGTGGTAGTGGTGGTGGTAGTGGTGATGGTGATGGTGATGGTGATGGTGATGGTGATGGTGATGATGATGATGATGATGATGATGATGCTGATTCTGATGCTGATAGTGGTGGTGGTGATGATGATTGCCGCTACAAATATCAATGTGATTATCAATGAAACTTTCCCTAGTACGAAGCAATGGCTGTTCATACCTAGCACCAATCGAACCCACAATCTTCCAAAACACATAATTTATCGAAGATGAAGTAATGATAAGTAATGCACAAGCAGGAGCGATGCAAAGTGCCGGTTGGCCATGTCAATGGGCTACCCATCGCACCAGTCTTTCTTGGTACCCGCCAATCTGGCCACGCTGGAGGTAGACTGCGTGCTTCTTGACGACGCAAGTGCCACTCCAATTGAAGGCATTAAGTCCTTAAAAGTCCCATGGCAAAGATATTTTGGCATTGTCGCAGCTTGTCGCAGCTTGTCATTGTAGGACACCCATCGATAATGGCCATGGGTCAATGCTACCTTCGTTCCTTCGGTTGTTGACGTCGTGGTGGCAGTTGGCACAGAGCACAGCGGGCAGTTGGCGATATCAGTTTTGTTCATCCTGCCTTGGGGATTGCTTGGGTATGTGGCAGTGCCTAACAATGTGAGACTTGAAAATTACAGCCTAATATCAGGAACGAATTCCGGATCTCCATCGCCGTAGGTGTTCGCTGGAAACCCAGCCTAAAGGTGACTTGTCAATAGGTTTGGACATGCCCGAAGCTCTTTGCATGGGTAGGATGGAACTGCAAGCCCATCAGTACAAAGCACCATTGAAAGGGCAACATAAAGCCCCAGTCGCAAATACAAGTATGATGTTCAACTACCCATCTGGGGCTGGAACGCTGCCAACAAAAACTGGTGACATGATAATCATAATGACCTAAAAGAATCAACCAAATGTGGACCTGTTGATTCTTTGCTGCAACCTCCCATGTGAGCGCCATGAAGATGTGAGCCATGAAGTGCGTTGAAGATATGATTTGGCTTTTGCTGGGCATCCAGCCAAAACCTGAAGCGCCAAAACATGCTCAGTCCACAACTTGACAACTAAATTTTACGATCTAGCCGAAATTCGGCAATTGAAATTCTGTGCACATCTTCATCATTCACCAATCCACACAAGGGCCATTTCTTTGGACGAGTTGCCCCTACCAGAATGACTCACTTCCCCACACCGTTGAACCCCACAGGGCGACACCTGGCCACAGGGGCCCCGGCCAATCGGCGGCTCGCTCCACACTGTTCATGCACCTGGGTATGCCAGGTGGCAAGGTTTGGGACTCATTTCTTGCCAATTCCTATCATTTCATGGTAAACCACATTGTTTTTGTACATCTTTGTGCGCTGAATTGAATGTTCTGTTTGCAAATAGATCTATATATACATAATATATATATATGATTACAATTGTTTAAATGTTATTTATGAGGTTGTATGCCTCCTATGGATTTGTTCCGTATGAGAAACATGGAGACTTTTTCTAAGTCTCAAAATACACCATCCAGAATAGATCAAAATAGCATGTATCTGTTGGAGGGCCTCAAATCTAAGTCCAAGAGCAGCCAAGGCACGACTTCAGGGCCGCTCGCACATGGGCTTCTGCAAAGCCCATGGAGCACAACGTGGACACTGCTTCAGGATCAAACCTGTGGGCGTTTCTGGATATCCCCCGGTGTCACTGTTGGCTGCGGCTGAGATCCAGACCCAGCGTCACCAGCAGGTTGGGCTCCTGCGACGAAAATCGCTGGAAACTCCAGCATCAATATCGTTTGAAAACCGACGATCACCCGCCAGTCCAGCAGCAGGCGGCAAATTGATGTCTGGATCTTCACTGTGTTCGAAGAACCTGCACGGGACTCACAAAACGTCACCCTGCTATGAACCCCACCATTCTTGGGACACTTGGGACACTTTAGGCATGGGGTCCACTACCACCCACCCCGGCACCAGGCGCAGGCTGCTTCGGCCCCCGAGTTGTTGACGGCGAGGCTGGCACGTTTGGCCTGGCAAGACATTGAAATTGAGGGGACAATTTTGGGGGGTCGAACCATTTGACCAATTGTGGAACGGGGATTCCTTTAAAAACTGTTGGTTTCTTAGATCTTTTGCACTTTTTAATAATCATGATTTCGTGGATGATATGTGAACTCCAGTGGATATCAAGGACTATTGTGCATCCCCAAATAGTTTTTACAGGGTCCAAGTCCCATGGCTGAGCCCTTTCTCACCGCATTCTCACCGATGCCCATGGAGATCAACTGGGCCTGGAGCATCATGATGGGATCAAACAGTTTGGGGATATAAGGGGGATATCACTATGATATTATCGTGGATGTTGATATATTGTTGATATGTTAAATCTCAAAAGCCTCAGGAAATTTAGAAGGATCTTGTATTTTAATTGTAAGGAGGGGGATACTATATGCTGGTAAGCTCACATTAAGTGATTGTGCCAATGTCCCCATGGTCATTTTCTATAGCCTATGACATGCATGGTTGGTAAGCACCTTCTACAAAATCAAAGAAGCGCCAGCCATGGGGCAACCTGGGAGCTGGTATGGTTATGGGTTAAGAATAGTTTCAGATCTGGGAACCACACAAATTCGGTCATTTTGCCCCAAAACAACCAAATTCTTTGGGTACCATCTCCGTACGATTTGTCTCAGATAGGGGACCCTAGAATCCCAGTCTATTTTCCCAATACAAATGACAAGTTGTTGGGCCCATCCTCCAATTTAAAGCAAACTCACCACCTGTGACCGCATGGAGCGCGGCCCATCTGAGCGCAAGGGCGACGATCATTTCATCTGCTTCTGGAGCCGCAGCTGGCCTAAGGATAGGGCGATAAGGCACAGCTGTCTGCGGTCCAAACTTTTGACCGTTTACATAATTTTCATTCATTTACCGTTTACCCATCTTGATCTCATCTTGATCCCATCCCATGTGAAAGAAAATCTCAAAGGCTGCAGCGGCGCAGCGGCGCCACGATCATCCGGCTCTTCTGGCATCTCCTCTTCTCCTGGAGACCAGCGTCAGGTGGCCATAGCCACCAAGTTTTGTGGGAAAACACAAGGAATCAAACAAAATTCATGGAGACCAGCCGAATCATCAACAAACAAATGGGCGTAGAAGCAAAGAAATGAGGATTGAGTAAACCGTGAAAAGCAAATCGTGTTTCCTCGCTGGGAGCCACGTGGTCTGGATACATTCACTGCAATTGCTGAAAAATTAGAATCCCAAACAGGCAATTTCTGCATCATCCTGGCTGAAGCCCCTTCCCTCGAAGATGCTCCAAATTCAATGTTTCAGGCCTCGATGGTGTCCGACCCCGGGAAGTTTGGAGCTTGGAAAATCACTTCCCATAGACCAACACGGCAATGATTTGCCATGGAAAAACCCATGAAGATTTTGTTGTGATGAGGAAAGCACTTACATTTTGGGCCACTTGTTTCCGTTTCCATCGATACCAAAGGGTAATAGTTCATACATTTGGAGGTCCTCGAGAAAATGATTTATCAACTGTGATTTGGTGGGCGAAGATTATGAGATCTTAGCAATCAAATGTTCCAAATGCAAATCTCATGGGTTTGGTGGCCTGGTTTGGTCAGGACCCTAGTCACAGGTCGCTCTGAGGCCGGAACATTGGAACCTGTCGCATCAGGGTGAGTGGTTGACCTTTTGAGATCCACTGAGAAAACCAATCATCTTCTGAAGTAGAAACCCCAGCCAGGAAAAACCTTTCCAAGTATGCCACAATTCGGATGGGGGTGTTTCCAAATGGCCAATCTGCAGGTTCGTAGGGCCCTGAGCAATTTGACCCACGTCCGTCGCTGATTACGTCCAATCAGATAAATCAGATCCCTTGGTTTCAAACATTTATTTGGATTCGCATTATTTTTATTTTTTGTTGCTTAAAGATTTCCATCTCACCTGTGAATCTCCATTGTTTTGGGAGTGCATACCCGACATCAGACCAGGCGGGCGAAAGGCTGGCTTGGAAGTGCAACTGGGTGCACAACCAACTTGTGACAAAACTATCCACCAGTGAAAACTCAATCTCGCCTGACCAATCCTCACCCCAGGGAGCTCAGGCAAACTTTGAAGTCACAAAACACGACCCAACAGATTCAATAGACCGGGCCAAAGGCAAAATACATTAACATTCCTTACCCCCGCACACAAAAAGCACACTCATTGATCATCAATCATTAATCTGCATCCCTGATTAGATGCAGAATCAGAAACAATGGAATACAAGAACTCAACAAACGTTAAAGAGACACATGCGCCGATCCGTCACCCTGATTCCATGCGCAAACTGAGATACAGTTTGGCTAAAACGCAACCAGCCCAAAAAAGTCCAAAAAACATCATGTCGCTGCACGACCATGTCGCTGATAAACCGCCCGGCACAACACACCATGATTTTTTCAATCGCACAAGCAGCCCAACAAATCACACGAACCTTTCCCACAGATCATGAAATTTGGACATGAGAAGATTTGCAAGCGGTCGTCATTGATTTGTTTCTAACCCCGACAAATACCTTTGCTGATTCCTACTGCGATATGAGTCGCCACAACCAGCCGTGGCCTTGCAGTCCAGCTTGGCAGGACACCACTTCTCATCGACGTAATATCGGCGGAGCTGCACCAACAAATACCTGCAGATTGACCAAGTTGGGTATGTCTCAAAATCGAGGACCCATAGACATAATCGATTCTTGAGATGGAAACTTGTGGGATTCCTATGCACGATCACTATGGCAACTGGTAACCAATGGATGCCCATCCGAAGTTTAATCAACATATATGGTGAACCAACCAGTGAAATAATTCCTCAATTCAATCAACATTACTGGTTGTACCACTCAAAGAATCACCAATTGCATGAAGACAGATATACATAAATATTGGGGATGGGTGAAAACCTTGTAACTCTGGCAATCATCTGTACAGCTGGGAAATGGATCCATAGTAAGTCAATCCTTGTAAGCATTGTATCGAAAAAGGTATGGATCCATAGCCATCACAAAGCATCAACCAGCCTGGGCATCGTCGCCATCCGAGTCCTTGGAGTCAGTTGGCGTCAATCTGCCCACGTTGGAACCACTTGGAACCAGGCACTTCGAGGTCCCTTGGTGCCCCAACGTCTTGGACGCTGCACTACCTCGGAACTGGATACCCTCCTGGTGCGGCGCTTCCGACCCTTTGTTTTTCCACAAAAAATCAAGCATTTTGGAAGGCTTCCCAATTCTGATTTGGTGATTTGGGGCTGCCCAATTCTGGACCCATCCAGCATTGTAGAATCTTTTGGGAAAGGCTCCTCCTGTGCTGCCAACCGCGCCAGGCAAGTCCTCAGCTCAAAATCTCGTCCATCATCGGATAAAAAGGGGACCCGGAGATGAACGGATTTATGTACTAAGCCAGGATTTCTGAACTTCTTTTTTGATTGGACGAAGGGGTCAACCCGATTCTTTCAAAGACATGTGCCATATAGCAGACTTACTCCATTCAATTGCAATCTTTCAAGACCAATCCATTCTCCCCAGCACATCCAGTGACCGTTTCATCGCTTTCAAGATGGTGCTTTCAAATTTGACCCAAATTTTTGATAGAAAAAACCACCCAACATGACATCTGGTGTCACCCAACACGCCACGGCACGAGAGCTGAACCAATGGCTTGGGCTCTTCGACACCTGGCCATCGGATCAGATGGGAAGGTTTGGGGTTGGAAGAAATGGGGAACTGTCCAAATTGGGGATCTCCACAAAATATTGGGCTTGATCAACAGAAAGGGAGATTGGCATATGATTGAACCAAGAGACATGAACGAGCTTAAGTATCATCCAACAAAATCGGAAATGCAACCAACAAAATGGCAGCACAATCTCAATGAACATGCATGATGTAAAGCGCCAAGGTGAATGATGGCCGCTACCATTCATAAAATGATTGGCCAGAGCTTCCCCATGCCTTCCGTCTTCAGCTTCTTTGGGTCCTTCTCGTCCTTTTCATGCGCTGCTTTGTAGGCCGTCACCTGTGGAGGTCCAATTGGACTTGAAAGCGCTATGAAACTTTCATGCATACAAAGGATCCCGAACTATATGCATCAAATAATTTATATAGTTGATATGTAGTCACAATAGGTCATGGTGACATCATTTATCATTTTGAAATTATATTGTCTTCGGTCTTTGGACATGCACTAGATTCCAAACTTTGGCAAATTTAATGAAGAATCTTCCATTTGGTGCATTGGAGACACATTGCAGAAAGGCAACCCAACGGTTCTGAAATCCGAAGAATCTCAAGGAAAGCAACATGTATAACTCTCTCTCTCTATCTCTATCTATCTATCTACCTATCTATCTATCTATATATATGTGCATATATGTGAGAATGACTCATGCATTGCGGCTGCACCTCAGCCAGATTCTCAGCATCCTCCAGCTTTACCTCAGCCGTAGCGGTTGCCACGAGGTCAAGAGGTGAACCAACGTCCCCAAAACATGTGGCCGACATGTTATTGAGGTGTTTTTGGGGGTGTTTAGCTTGAGATAATTTCGAGAGAAACGTGGCCAAAGATACAAATGAGAATGTTGCCCGAAGCTGGTGATTTTGCGTCAACTGACGATCCCATCATGGCACAAACAGTGGCAGTACTTGGCAGTACTGGAGTCAGGGCTGTGTACTTTTTCCCTGACGGATTTGCCAACATTTGGCACATTTGTAGAGCTAAAATGGTGGTCACAGGTAACATTCTGTCTCAGGCCTTGGCCCTGACATGAGGTGATCCGAATTGTGCTAAGGGTCGCACTGGTATTCCAAGCATGGTTTCTTGCGTTCTGCTGTACCTGACAAGAGGTTCAGCAATGATAAATCAGGCTGAGTCTAAGAAGCCTTGGTTCTAATGGTCGAAACATCTCCAACTGTGTAACTAGTCTTCTGGAAAACGCTGGGATATTTGAATATCTACATTTTCTCTGCCATTTTACATGGCTAAGCTCAGATACCCTCCATAAAATTTCCCAAAAACTAACCTTTCATCAAGCGTTCGTCTCCCGTGGGGGGAACCCGTCTCCGACCGAGTCACTTCACTCGTCGGCTGCCGCTGCTCTCTTGCATTCTCTCTTCCACCTTTTTAGAAACACTTGGCCCACAAAAAATAGCAATCCATAGATAATGTATATAAATTCAGTGATACATGGCGATGTATGATATATCAGATAAAATGTATGCATATCAATAGAATATATATATATATACACATGCACACACACACACTGTTCTACGTATATGTAAATACGTATATATATATACTGGAATGTAGACTCCATTCATGGTTAGAGATGTTATGGCTTGGTGATATTTCCATGGCGCCCTTTCCCTTAGGGCATCAGATTGGAAACAATTGGAACCAGCAACCCCTAAACAGAAAGAATTGTGGGTCTCCAAGTAATGACAGTGGAATGAACCACGACAATCATGGATTGGAAGAGTATGCTATACTATCTATTAGTAATGAACTACAACATATTTAGGGATGCTTTAGGCAGCCCAAGAGAGAGCAAGCAAAAGCAGCCCCCGTGAGTGAACATCAGGGTTCCTGACAAACAACATCCAACAGTCCATACAACCAAAGGGTTTCTCTCCAAGGACCAATGCAATGCCATAAAAACAGAAGAATCCCTTCAATAAACTGCGATCTCTACTGATGTTGTGGGCACCGAGACAAACTCGACGGGAGCGCGGCGAAATCGAACATGCCGGAGGTGGGGCCTCAAATTTTCGGAACCAAACATCTGGAGACCCGAAGCAAAATGGCACCAGTGTAATAGGATTCAAGTGGGTTCAATGGAAGCTGGGTCCAAAATATTTCAAATTTATGGGGTTCGATGGAAAGCTCAGAATTTGTGCTTCGCCGCTGTCAGCCCTCATGCAGCCATCCAATGAGAACCACGTCGACGAGGACCCACGGACAGCTCAATCTACGCACTCGTTGTCCTAACAATATTTTCAGCTGTCCCCAAAATAGATAGGCATAGGAACCACAAACCAAGTAGGATATCTGTGTCAAAGTTCAAATCAGGAATCCTCAGTCATTTTCCATGTGTTGTACACAATTCTAACTCATGTCTTGGATGTATGGGATCCATCAAAACGACTCAATTTCGTCTTCGATGGTTAAATCCTCCATTAACCATTGGATGGTGCTTAACCGGCTTAACCATTCATTCAAAGCTCCCTATTTTACCCACTTCTGCCGAGGGACGATCCCCTATGACCCGAGAACCCAGAGCGCTGCGCTCGGCACGCGTCAGCTGCTCCAGGAAGTACTGGCATGGCCAGCAGGGGAAAGAAATTTGCTGCGACCCTGGGTTACCGGCTGGCCATCGATGGATCAGAAACCACCAATTCTTGGAGATATCAACATTTCAAGCCATTTCCATTTGATAGGCTTGTCCAACTACATGCAAAGAGAAGTCTAGATGCCTTGCAAAATACTACGCATAATATATAATATATACATATACTTGTCTAAGTCCGCGCGTGGAAGTGCAATACCAATGCAAAACGCATCGGATATGCCAGCGCCTGAATGAATTCGGCGGCATCTTGTTGCCTGGAGGCTGATGGCAGCAGTGGCTTCATGCTGAGTGCCGGACTCATTTCTCCATATGGAGGGATGATGAGGAAATGCCAACAGTCAATTTGAGCATCTCAAACTTTGTCCCCACATGGCCAGGACACTAGATCTGGACGCTGCGATCTGCAAAATGCGATTGCTGATGTCGCATTTTTGTCGATTCTGGATTTAAGATTTGGATAAGATATGGACACTCACAGAAATGCAAAACATTTGGGGAATCCACCAATGGCAATTTGTGAAGTCTCCACAGATCTTCCTTCCACCGACACCTGGAGGTGGAAAACTCAGGATGCCCACGTCCAATCAAGGTGCGGAACATCTGCGGTGCCAGTGTCCGGGTGGAAAATCAAGGACCAATGGACCCATTAAACGGGTCAATTTTTTTGATTGAAATGATCCGCCAAATTTTGCTGTGAATCTAGTGCTTCAATCCATGACAGTACTCGTCACTGGATCATCATCCCTATGATTGAAAAGAACCACTCCAAACATAAAGGGCCATTGGCTTCTTCTGGGATAATTTTAACCGGACACACTTCTCAAATCAAAGTCCTGACGTGGTCTTGCGATGCATCTCCAGTGGTACATCTTGGTGGATTTTGGGATCCCCAAGTTTTGATCCCTTCAAAAGTACTGGTATGAGCCATTCCAAGCACCCAGCAAATTTATTGTCGGGCCATCAGTCATTTCAACATGATTTGTCGTCCTACCTTCATTTCTTTTACTTGCTTGGGACATTTGATATTTTGATTCGTCTCAATTGGGGCATACCATTGAACTATGGCCATTTCAAAGAAGAACACTTATGATAGACCGTTGAATTCTGGTACCAAACATTTTTCAGACATACAGGATGGTGCTGCCAAGTTTTGTTTGTTGGTTTACAACCCCATCTAAATGTAATAAGTATCATACACTATTGTTACTATATACTATTTATAATATACTATAATTGTTCTATACTATCATACTATAGTATATCTATATCATACAATATTGTTGTTATAGCTATTTCAAACCAGTTCGATTTATTTCAAACGACATCGTGACGGGCGCCTGTGGCGCCACGACGTGCTTGGGATCTTCTTCATCCTCTCCGTCCTTCCTCGCGGGGACTGGCGATGATCAAACCAGTTGAAGCTTGTCGGAATCACGAGTATATCTATGTATAGTATATAATATATAATATAGACAGAACATAGTACTGGGGAGAGGAATCTCGAGGTTGATGGTAATCAGAATCAAGCTTAAAGTTGGTGGCATTGAGGAAGCAATCTGATTCCATGTAGCCAAGTATAATCATCAGATGTATTGTTTACAACATCCTACACACCACCAATACATCAATCATCAATAATACATCAACCAATCAGTAAATACATCAATAATCAATAATACATCACCTCAATAATACACAATCTAATCATCAAATACAGATACATAATCAACTATTAGCTATACTGGTATCAACTACTACTATAGGATATCCTACCTCTGCATCTGATGTGTTGCCATCTGAGCACCGTGCAAAGGTGGAGCATAGCGTGGGCCGTTCAAGCCATTCGCCAACTTGGCGACCTGACCCGTCTCATGGCTCGTTTTGCCGAAGATTACAAGGCATACAACAGCAACAACATGTAGCAGCAATCACTAGAACTTTTATTATGGAGAGCATAAAGGATACATGGCATATCTGGTAGTGTTTCCCACTTTAGCTTCTATAATGTTCTCTTCCTTTCGGTGCATTTTACAGGATGCTATCAAGCAAGGTCCAAGCTACGTCGAAACAGAGCAGAGTAGAATTCCAGGCTGCAGGCGCAGGCCCAACCCATTTGAATGGTGGAGTTGAAAGAGTTGAAAAATCCCCAAAAGCAAGTGGCTGCCCCGCCTGGCTGATCAAGTCGTTCTGCACTTCTGAAGGCCCAGATTTTCGGATCTGGCCAAGTATCCGCTGATGTTCCAATCTCCACGTTTGAAACACCGAACACTTCCTGAACGGTTGTTCCCATCCTTATCGTTTTCACTAATCGAGGCAATCATTCCATTTTTTACGGATAGAAATGGAGGTTTCCTAAAATAGGGGTAGCCCTAAATCATCAATTTTAATCGGATTTTCCATCATAAACCATCCATTTTGGGTACCCACATTTATGGAACCCTCCAAATGGAAGGAAAACTAGCGGTTTTGTACGGGGCTCCCTCTTCCTGTGCCTGGAAGTCAGCGTCCATGTAGCGTTGCTTCACCTCTGGTAGAGCCTGCCATGGAAACTGCGTCCACTCATGCTGGCTGCATTAGTTTTGCTCGACAGTCAATAGTGCTGATGTGACTGATGTGTAAATATAGTTTTTTAACGCACGCATTCAGAACTATACATGCATGTATACATAGATATATACGTATGTATGTATATATATATAACAGCGAACAAAGGAAACAACTTTAAGCTTTCACATGACGGGTCATGCTCCACTGAAACACGTCAATGACGTGTGCAACAGCAACTTCTTACAGAAAAAAAAGCTGATTGGTGGTCTCAATCCCGAAACTATTGATCATGAGGGACTAGCATCCCCAAATTCTCACATTGAAAAAACTACAGGCTTGTTAAAAAAACATTCCATCCCATGATTGATCAAAAACACAAAAAAAGCTGCATTTTTCCCATTCAAATTGCTGTAGATTGGGGGGACACATCAGATCTCATGTCTCACTCCGACCGAGGGCTGGACGAGCAGCAGTTGAACGGAGGAGTTCATGTAGCATGATTGCCTGGCACGTTTTGTACCAAAAAAACCGATGGAGTTAACTGAGTTAACCATGAAAAATGGCGGAGTTAACCAATGAAACATGGAAATATATGGAAATGAGTGTGTTTTCTTTCAAACATCGGGGATTTCCAGCAATTCTAAACGAGGGCATGATGGGAATGGGTCTTCAATAGGCAAACAGTTTCCACGGTTCGGCGTGTTTCCTCGGTCTAGATTGAATGGGATCCTATGGATCTATAGGATCCCTTTTCCAATTTTGTGCAAAGCAGTGGATTTCAAGCCATTTCAAAGATATGAAAAGGTCATGAGGAGAATCCCAATCATAATTTTTGCAAACCCCAAATATGAATCCACCAATCGAGATGTGAGTTACCAATTTTTTCTTCCGTCTTTGGGGCTTGACGTATAAATCCCAGCTATTTTGTCAGAGGTCCCAGGGTAAACTGATCACCCCACAACATTGGAACTTCCAAAACAGAGGCGCACCCGAGATTTTTGAGGCCCACCAAGCCAGGTCCGCGCAAGCGTACCTGGAGGGCTAGCCGGCTGAACATGATACATTCGATGATGGTTAAGCATAACTACACCCTTTGTTCCCTTGGGGGTGTTGATACACCATAGCCATTGATGTGGCCCCAAAACCCAGGGAAGGCATGAAGGCATGGGAAGGCGGGTCTGTCCTGTCGCCTATGTGGGGTGGTGGTGAGGCGGAACAAGAAAAGGTTGGAGAATCCATGTGGAAACAGGAATCCTGTCTAAACCAAAGTAGGCACTGCCTGGTGTTGTCTGTCAAAAAATTGTTGAGCATCAAAAATTGAGAAAAATGCGGAATCAACCATCCATATTAGAGATCTAACCAATGTATAGTGGTCAATTCTTGGATGCTGTGCCAAAAAAGCGAAATGGGGACTGATGGGTGTATTGCAACTAATGGCAAAAGAAGCAACTGCCCAACTAAGCTTTGCCCAACATGATTTGGGTGAGAATTGGGTATCAACCACTGTCATTTCTAGTATATTTACTGCCCATTTGGTACCCGAATTTGACCCTTTGCATTCCCCAATTTCCTGGCCAAAAAGCACCGAGCCCAGGGGGCCCCTCCCAAAGCGGGCCAGCGGTTTGTCGCCGGACTCGCAGATCTTGGACCAGTCCCAGTTGAGATTCAGATCCACCTGGGAAGGCACGGAATTTTTCGTTGGGGAAACACCGTTCCATCTGGTTGAGACCATAATGTGGGTAAAACAATGCCATAAACCACCCATGACTGGGAATAGTTTTTAGTAGTTTGTACCACCTATTTATGGTGATTGGGGGATTGTTTATTATTGCTTTACCTTCATTACATCATTTTTCCTTTGGATTCCCAACTTCAAATTGCCAATCAAAGGGGTCAACGGCTGCAATTTGCCCAGCAGAAATCTGGGACTGGGCACCTGCATCTCTGCCAAAGTTTTGTCCGTCTTCTCCATCCTGAGTTTCGCAAAACCAGTGCCGTTGACCCTTCACCCAGGGCTGATCTTGTAGTGAAGAATGTTGTCCAACAACCTGACCTTGCTTATGGTTGGAGTTCCAGTAAAAATGGTGATATTTCACCATCGTTATGGGGCCCCATATCCCAATTTTTGGGGGTTCTAGAACAATTGTTGTACCGATTCATTACCCAGTTGATATCCCTCCAATATTAATTCTTTCTTGGTACATGCCTATCTATCATTGTTGGTTTGTACATGAAATCCCATCAAAAAATAAAAATCAGCACTGTCCTGAACCCCACCGTGGTTTCCAGATCCGCTTTGTACCACGGCACTTCATCACGTCGATGCCCCAGTGCTCCAAATGCTGCGCCAACAAGGGATCCTGGCTGGAGGCACTGGTCGGTTCCCTGGATGGCCATAGTTCTGTATCTCCCAAACATGTCAAAATGGCTAAGACTACAAGAAATGATGTTTCTGATTTCCTGGGTTCATGTTCAAGCATAGCTATTTGGTGCATTAGCACTGTGAAGGATGCATATTTCAGTCATCCAGGTCGTTTTTTACCCTCACGACTGGTTCACTCTTTGTCACCTGGAGTGGTCTGGAATTCCTTCATTGCTGGTGCTGCGGCTTTTCATCTCACATACCCCAACTTCTTTCCTTGGACCATCCACCTGCCATCACCTGCCTTACCCAACTTGGCCAAGCCATCTGCTGGTGAAACTTCTGCAGAAGCCACAGGGATCATCACACGGTGTCCCTGATTCCGAAAATTTTACACATTTTTTGAAGATTTGAACCACTCACCAGGAATCCATTTTTTTGGGGTCAACAGGTTTACCACATATGTTCACCCCCAATCTCTTGGTCAGCCAGCCAGTCATGACTTGGGCACTCATCCCCGCTCCTTTACAAGGTTATCCTCATCCGGGGCATAAGAGTAGACATCCGCTCCTGTCAGGTCCGTCAAACTGAGGGGCAACCCCCGGATCATGTCAACCATGTCAACATATGTCAACATATGTCAACCAGTCAACCATGAAACAGGGCCAGAAATCTGAGATTTCAACTCCCAGACAGAAAAATTGAACACCCAGAAGCCACACTTAGATGGGCTTGCCACTCCCCAATGACATCGTGATTTTCGGTTGCATCCCAGCTCGAATCGGGAATCAACTGGTAGGAAAACCAGCAAATGGTGGTTTAGAATGCCTCAAGATTGCCATGAAACACAAGTCGCCTGACTGCGTATTTCCCCAATTTTCAATGGGCTTCATCTACACATCACCTTTGGGCATGTCAAACATCATGATTCCCAAACCTGATTTGTGGACCTATTTTGGGGTGGTTTCCCTTTGGAAACTTGGATGTGCCAGTCAGTAAATAGATCCTATTCCAGAAATCGTTGATGTAACCATTACTTATTCACGGCAACTTCCATGTAAACACAATTCCATGGGTGGTTTCAAAATGTTTCAAACACATAAAGATATATTATCCCAATTATATCCAATTATCCAATTTTATCCAATTGATGGTGCCAAATTGTTGATGGCTTCGCTTAACCGCCTTTGACACTTATTAAATCGGTCAACCACACAGAGAAGTTGACCCCGTCGACCCCGCTCCATCCGGCGTGATGGTCCCCAGCTTCACCACCTCGTGGTGCTCTCGGGCAACATGAAAAATGGGGAATAAGAATGAATAAGATACTATTGCATACTATTGCTGTATAGAAATCATCGGTGTAAGATTATGCAGCTACTATTCATACATGTACTTTGTGAATAGAGACGGATATGTCGTAGATAACCTCAAAGTTTGAGTGCCACCTGGATTAAATCTCTTTCGGCGTTTCCGTTTGACTTGCTGATGCTGGCTAGGTCATTACCAAAGCCCAATAATGTTGCCAGAAGCATGTTCCGAGGTTCTTCTACCCAGTCTTTGGGTGGAAATCATCTTGACTCAGCTTCATAAAGTTACAGCTCACATACAACATCAACGTGCATGGTTTCATATCCTTGATACAATTTGCAATTGGAAGGTTTAAGATTCTCGAAACACCAATCTTAAAGTGAACCAAAAGTTTGCGGGAAAACTCACTTGGATTCTCCTAACCTTAAAATCTTGCTCCATTTCTGCCCATGGACTTGGCTTTCCCCTCCGGGAAGTTCCCAGATTCGGCCGAGGCACCAATGGGAAGAAGTTGCCCTTGGCCTTCTCCTTCCGTAAATCACTGCGATTTATCACTCTCTCACAGATTCAAAACCGCCAATTTACCACTCTAAAAACACAGCCATAATTGCCATACTTGGACAAAACTATATGGAACATCCATCGTTGGATGAACATTTCAATCCAAAATGGAACATGCCCAGTTTGTATGGTGGTTGACTTCACAAACACATTTGAAACCACCAACCGGTCATATCACAGCATTTATTGGTGATACCCCCCGTGTTACTGCTTATTCAACCCACCATAAACGGATCCAGTTGGTTCATCTTCAAGTTTTTGTTGAAAGGCAACCGAGCATAGGAAAATGGATTGAGCCACTGATAAACGAAACCTTTGAACTCCCATTCAGCTTGGTAAAATCATGTAAAATCCGCAGCTTTGTTGGCAACCATATAGGAAAATGGTATAAGCTGGTCGTATTTCCCAATTTTTCACGCAATTTTTTGGGATGATTTTCCCTACTGACCATGGCCCAAATGGCAAGGTCCACCCGGGTCCTCTTCGAAATGCTCCAGCGCTCCGTTGCTGCCACCAGAGCCATCCCAGTGTCTTCGACCACCCCCAATGTACCTGGGCTGGAAACCAAACAGCCTGGGGATTTAGGCAAAATTATGGGATCTAACAGGATTTCATCAATGAATACTAGAAAATACTATCAAAATTACAATGACGATCATGGGGAATCCTATCATTTTTCCGAATTGGGATGATTTGATGGAGATATAGGGACTTCACCAGCAAAATGCGGGTTTAACTGTGGAAGATATGGGGAATCAAAATTGGCGGGAGAATTTTTTTAAAGTTTGGGACCTTGAACCAATTTTGGCCTGAGGATTTTGATCCATAGCTGGATTTGGACCATGAAACATGGAGATTTCAAAGTCATCAACACCTGACTGTGGCATAGCTGGGAAACATAGGTCTGACTCGAAATTGGGGACGACCTGGCAGATTTTGCCTGGGAACCAAGGCTTAGTGGCGCAGTCGAAATGCGCTCAGGGACCAGACAAAGGACTGGAGGACTGGGCTGGAGTTCATTGCTTTCAAGCCACGTTGTGGCCACAGTGTTGTGGGCCCAGTATGGCCAGTTGCTCAACATGGCGCCCCCGATTCCTTGGGCTCCAACCCATCGGAGAGGTTCAGCCAGAGATTTTGAGTGTCACCACTCTTTTCGCACCTGCAACGAAAACGTTTAAAAAGGGCGCGCTTCAAAGTGGGGAGGACACCAGAACATACCAGAACTAAAACAAGAGAACAATCATCTTGAGGGGCTGAACGCTAAGTCAGTCAACAAGCACATCTGGAAAGATATGCACAGCAATTTCCTCTCAATTTGGCTTTAACAAGTCCTACGAAATACTACAAGAACAAGCAAAAAATAGGAGTTTTCCACGTGTTTCAAAGCACGAGCCAGTTCTTGGCTGGGAAAGATACCAGTGTTTGGTTGCTTCGATCACTTTGACCCCTGCGGCTAAGTCCCTGGCTTCCAATCCTGAGAGACACAGGACGGTTCACAGCTCTTCCCATTGGAATGGTAAAAACAGCCTGAACCATGGTCTTTATCCATGACAGGGGTGCCCTGGTAACATATTTCTTGGGTGATACATCATAATTCTGAAGATAGAAAAAACATGGATTTGAAGGCTCCAAGGGATCTTTGAATTGCTGGTGAACCATTGCAAACCACTGGTCCTGCTCTCGCGACTCGATGCATCTAAGAACTTCGATAACATCATGACATCGGATAAGTATAGCACAAAACGATAGAAACGTAGATAGTAGGTTATCAGTATTTTAATAGGATTACACCAACTTCTATCTTTTTGGGCGTTGTTATACGTGAAAAAAACACACATTCTCAAACGTCCCCATCAAATGATCAATTTCACCAACATTTTCCTGTGCTGCTTGCTGGTTTCAAGCCCTCCTTTTCTTTTTAGGCATCATCATCCCCAAACAGGGGATGAGAAACGAAGATACAGCTGAACATAGAAAAGATGAACATGTCCTGACATGACCATCTTGTTCAGATCCGACCCTCTGGTAAACTAACATAACTATGGAAAATCACCATTTTTAATGGGAAAACTCACTATAAATGGCCATTTTCAATAGCTATGTTAAATTACCAGAGGGTAGATTTCACATCTTTTAGGAAGAAATAAAAACCACTCTCCTCCCAGCATGTCCTTTGGACTTGGACTGATCTTCTTCATGGCCGGCAGCTGCACCAATTCCTGGTGGATCAAAATTAGATGAGCAAAACGCCCGAAAAACATCGCAAAACAACGAGCAAGATCTACACTTCGTTGAAACATGTGGAAACGATGTTTTTTTAGATTGCCAATAACAAGTCTTGGTGTATTGCCAATGTCTCCAGACATTGTGAGAGTTTTACCTAATCGCAGATGATATAACCTTAACCCGGGCAGTTCTAAGAAGGAAGTCCTCTTCCAAACCTTCGCAACGTGCGTCCCCTCTTCACTTGGTAAATTGGGTGGGGCTTTGTGCCTGAAGAATTGAAAAAACAGGCAGAACTGAAATGTTCCAGGTATGAGATCTAATCTTCGCATTTCTTTGCCGACATTTCCACTATTCACTGGGTGAAACCATCACTTTTGATGGTTTAACCCCCACCCCTTCTTCCCATCCTCGCCTTGTAGTACTTGCTCTCCTTGACTTCCTTTCACCGGGAAAAGGACGAAAGCCACGGGATTTTGAGGTAAACAACACAACTTTTCTTTGGCACAAGTGAGATTTCAAAAGGGTACGACCAAGATAGCACTGTAAATTGGACGTGGCCCGGCATGATTTTGGATTTAACACGCCCAGATCTGCGCTTGGAAGCACCCATTTCGCCCATGGACCAGTTCGTGCCTCTTCCCACTGGCTGACAGCTTCTTGGGACTGCACACCCTGGAAGCGCCGGGTCGATCCCGAAAACTGCCAATAGCCACAAGTTATTCCCAAACTTTGAGCACCAAAAATCCAAGCATTGTAGATTTGGCTGGGAGACCTTTCGGTAAACGTGGCAATGGACAATCCCTTTGTAGGAATTTCCCATGAAAAAACTTCGATTCGAGGATTTCCGAAGCCATGGTATCATTCCTTGAAACATGTGAAATTGGCCAACCGCAGATCCTGCCCCGGTGGCACTTCTTTGACGGACTTTCTGATTTGGCTGATCGATCGATTGTCGTCGAGCCTGTGACACCGACGTCAACCCGCGTTGTCAAGCGACGAATAAAACTCATGTTGATCCAAGTTGATCAATGGGGCCAACCTATGGCTATGAGTCACTCGGAAAATGCGATTCTAAGTGATAGAAATGGACAAAAATCAGATTGACCCATGCCCCTGGAGCTTTCGCAGGGGTTGACATCTTAAGGATTTTGGCAGTCACTAGCCTCACTGGCATCGGTGACTGCACCTATTCGGCCTTTGTGGCCAGGAAATGAATCATCCACCAAACTTTACCGCTTTTTGGCAGGTACCTGGAACCAACCCACGGCGAACCAACCCACGGCCAACCATTGGCAAACTTTCAGGGCCATATTCATCTAGTGGTTTCTTACTGCAGAAACAGGAAAAACTGATCTCAATGGAGCAAGAAGTCAATGGATGGCCAAGCCGTCCAGTTCTTTACAGATTCTTTACAGCTATGTCTGTGCCGAAGGGAAAGCTCCCCCCGGGGTGGATGCGCATCGCATCGCACAGCGTTGCTGTTGATGTGCAGCTTGCAACAAATTCAACAGGACTAAGACTTGTCAGAGGCTTCGAGACTTCTTTCAAACACTTGAACCATCAGAGCCACGTCCAGTGGGAAAAAAATACTAATTATTCTGTCCTCCAACATCATCATTTAACATCTTCAAACTTCAGTAAAATTATGCCATATTCTATTCACCATCCATGTCGCAATTTTTCTAGCTCAGCTAAGTCTTTGCGACTCGGAGTCACTTGGGCATCTCGTCGAAGATGGTTGAGCCACCGGCCCGACTGCTCTTCAAAACATTGGGCCAGACGGCCACGACCTTGCTGTGAACAGGGCTGTTTCTTGAGAACAGAAGTCACCCAACCGGAATGGAACATGGTAACATGACCATATGTAGCGGGTATACAAGCAAATTCTGGTGGGTACAGAACATGTAGGAAACCCACGTCTTGTTGGTGAAGCTGAAAATTGGGTACCCGGCCATGGTTTCCTCATTGTCATCGTTCAATTGACGACCCTAGGTTGATTGGATTTCCATAGGTTGATTTCTCCATATCCGCCATATCCATCCATTGTACACTGCTTCAGCCATTTTGGAGAAGCCACAAGCATCAGGGCAAAGGGGACTGTAGCCAGGATCCATCCCACTGCAATGCTCCACTCCGGGAAGTAGCCAGTTCCTACGCCGGGAATCGCAGCTGGTGGTTGAGCCACCCGGAATTTGGGGTAAGGACAGGGATATGGGTCAAATGGTTCCCATAACCTTTGGGATAACTATAGTTACTATAACCTTGGGGAATGGATTTTTTGATTAATTTTGACACGAAAAAAATGGGCATGTTCAAATTTTGCGTTGATCCTTCCCACTTTAGATGGAAAGCACAGACCATCAACCAAACCAGGCACCATCCTGAAAACCTCTCGCTGGAACCCCTAAAACAAATCAATATCTAACGCATTCAAATCTTTTCTCAAGGGGCTGCAGATTAATTCTAGGAGAGTGACCATGTACATCAAAGATGAAACCAAAACATGGAACCAAACACAATCAGAGTGGAGTATCAAGTTGGTTGTGTATATATAATATAATATAATATAATATTAAATAATGTAATATAACTATAATATAATATAATATTATAATATAATATAATATAATACATATGTATATATATATATATGTATATATATATGTATATATGTATGTATGTATGTAATGTAATGTAATGCAATGCAATGCAATGCAATGTAATGCAATGTAATGTAATGTAATGTAAGTAAGTATGTATGTATGTAGGTAGGTAGGTAGGTCGGTATGTATGCATATATCATATATCCCCATTGTTTTCCTATATTTCTTGGTTAAATCCCCCAGTTATCAGCGATTCCACAGATCGGAGAACTCCGGCACTAAGATGTCCAATTGGGTGAGGCGCATCACTATCTGAGGGATGAACATCACATGAGACTATAATATAGCCATGGAAAATCCCTCATAGGGAAAATCATCTATAAATGGGCCATTTTCCATGGCTATGTTAAATACATCTATATCAGAAATATGCAACCATCCAACCTCTTGACATCCCGCAAATCATCTAAATCCCAGCCCGGCGCTGGATCCTTCCGGAAAAGCTTTGGAGCTTCGAGCATTCATCACATCCACTTTGGCGAAAGGTGGCGTGACACTGACCACCACCAGAAACACACAGAGTGCAGGGCAAATGTAGCCCCAGGTGGCCTTCAGAGCGGGCGTGAGGATGTCAACTTTAAGAATTTGCTTCAACAAGTGAAGTGATTGTGCTGTTGCCGTTGCCAGTGCGAAGGTCTTAGGGACGAAAAATAAGTCCACTCATCATCCCAGGAAGAATGGAATGAAAACAGCAGTCAGTTGAGCAAAAGTCGCTGTAGCGATATTTGGTGCTCAATCTTTTTCCCATATCCCCAAAAAAATCATGAAGATTCAGCCTCCGCAAAGTTGATCCTTACACTGATGGTTTAAGAAACCCCTGTTGCTGGTGGTTAATACCTGAATCTTCATCATTGATTGAATCTCGATCAATGTATTCTGGACAAATCATATTTTCTCAGGAAAACATCAATATCCAGCTAACTTCTGGCAGGATGCTCCCTTCTTAAACATCATCTTAAACTCCATTCAGCTAAACTTTCAAAGATTCCTCCCATCTCCACTAGCCGCACCTTCGAGATCCAGCCCAAGCGAATCCCAGTGTTTTCTTCGCAGAGGATCTTGAATTGTCTCCAGGTCTCACCGTTGCAGGTCCACATCCTGCAACGCCAAAGGTGGGGAATTTGAAGTGCTGAAACATGTGGATTTAATCTTCAAAAATAGTGAATCATAGGGATTTGACAAGGAAACATCATGATTTAACAAAGATAAAGGATGTAAACATGAAAAGTGGTGACAGATGCTGTTTACAAGGCAAAAATGAAGATCCAACAATCCAAATAGCAAACATGATGATTTAACCAACACAAATGTAGCTTTTACCCTCAACATAGGATGTTTCATACAAACCATGGCCAACAAATGCGGATTTTACCATAAACCATCAGGAGAATCATGTGGATTTAGCCATAAAAAGGAGGGGCAATGGCCAAAAAATCAACTATGGGAATGGCCCAGAATCGGGAAATTCAGCATCGAAGCATCTCAACATTTCACCAATGGACCAACATGCTCTTGGGATGATATTCTTTGATGGGTTCACCCTACGCCATACCGCAATGAAAATCATCAGCTAAGCACATCATCAACGTGCTTGACAAGGCCATTGTAAGCCTGAATTCAAATGACCTTTTGAATTTATCAGCCCAAGATATACCCTCACTATTTCCTGCAAGGTAGTGATGGATTAACAATAAAAATTGGTAAATTGCTACCCCTTTTGATCAACAGGTGGTTTGCTAACCCTGAGTTAACATCAACAAACAGGATTTGGCCAAGTGGCAATCCGAGGCATTCCAAGGCGCCCACAGCGAACATCACATAGATGCTGACATAATTGTCGAAACTTAGTGGGACCATCTCTGTCCAAACTGGGGATGACACAGCACTGTTTTTAGTCACTACATGTCACTACCGTCATTTGTACCTGTTTGGTTGTGGTGATCCACAATTTCTTCGGGTGCCATGTGTGACCCGTAGCAAGTGACTGTTTTGCAGCTTCGACCTCTTACCATTTATCACAAGAAATCCTTGAGATGCACATGTAAAACTAGCCATTGCTCGGCTGGATTCCCACTAGCCACAACGGAATCTGCAATGGAAGGATTAAATCTCCTATTGCCTACTGCTCATGGTATGGGTCAAAAACTGCTGCACCGATGCACCCAGCACATCAAACCATCCATTTTGTGGGTCCAGTGCAGTGGTCACGACATCGAATATCATTTGGATCAGTGATCCCGGTTATATCATATAGCAAAGCTCGGTTTCCTCATGGTACCACAGTCATCCAAGTTATGGACCATGGCTTCGTAAACCCAAGGTGACTTGGGGATCCCATCCAGTGCACCCAGTCCCCAGAAACAGCTCGAGGAAGTAGACACCCGCGTTGGTCACAAAGAGAAACCCGATGATGTAGGAAATGAAGCAAATGATGCCTGAACGCTTCGCCCAGCCCCAGATCTATGGGCTATGGCTGTGTCTCCCTAGACCAGCCATATGGGATGATGCTTGGGGATATTTCATGAGAATTCATCATGACTAATGTTGTATGTAAATATAGATGGCATGATATAATGATATAATGATATAATATGATATATATATATATAAATAAATAATGGGATGTTCAATTCACCCGAAGCTGTGTCATTCTGGTTGAGAGTGGGGCTACTATGCTGGATGAGTTCGTGATCCCCGTTAAGGCAGGATCCCTTCCCCCAAATACTAAAACCACCTTGAAACCCTGGCTTGGTACCGGATCTATTTGATTTGGGGCCTATATGTTTTAATGTCAGGAGGGGGAGTACCAAAGCATCAAATCACGTCAGACAAACCCATGACGACCGCTTTCGGGCGTCCCACACACCTTGGTCGAATGAGCTTCCAGCTCTGGGGGCCCCATGGTCAAACTACCCAGTGAAGGTCACATTACCCTCTGGTAAACGTTCACATAACTATGGAAAATCACCATCTTCAATGGGTCAATCCACTATAGATGTGCCATTTTCAATAGCAACATGTTAAATTACCAGAGGGTATCTCCATTAAATCACCATTAAAACCCATTAAAACCATCCTCGGCGCCTGACAGCAGCGGCCGCGGCAACTTGTCCCCGATCCCGGCGTCCATCAGCACAGTGGCCACCGCCTCGATATAGGCGAACTGCGAATCAATGCCCAGCAACAGCATCCTCAGTGGGAAATGACTATAGGGACTAACAGGTGGGTACCCTCTGGTAAACTAACATAACTATGGAAACTCACTATAAATGGCCATTTTCAATAGCTATGTTAGTTTACCAGAGGGTATATGTTGAGGATATCAAACAATCATCCAACCATCCAAATAATTGGTACTAGTGGATATTTTAATCCATAATAGTAAGCTAATTACTTTGATAGTTCATTGGTAGTGAATGGTTCAACCAAAAATAGTTGTAATGGTAGTGACTTTAATAATAAGCCATCCCTAATACTAAACCAGGGGGAAATCGATTGCTATAGTGGTTTATTATTGGTTTATAATGGGAAAATTAATAATCTAGAGTGGGTATATGTTGGGGATATCAAACAATCATCCAACCATCCAAATAATTGGCATTAGTGGATATTTTAATCCATAATAGTAAGCTAATTACTTTGATAGTTCATTGGTAGTGAATGGTTCAACCAAAAATAGTTGTAATGGTAGTGACTTTAATAATAAGCCATCCCTAATACTAAACCAGGGGGAAATCGATTGCTATAGTGGTTTATTATTGGGTTATAATGGGAAAATGAATAATCTAGAGTGGGTATATGTTGGGGATATCAAACAATCATCCAACCATCCAAATAATTGGTATTAGTGGATATTTTAATCCATAATAGTAAGCTAATTACTTTGATAGTTCATTGGTAGTGAATGGTTCAACCAAAAATAGTTGTAATGGTAGTGACTTTAATAATAAGCCATCCCTAATACTAAACCAGGGGGAAATCGATTGCTATAGTGGTTTATTATTGGTTTATAATGGGAAAATGAATAATCTAGAGTGGGTATATGTTGGGGATATCAAACAATCCAACCATCCAAATAATTGGTATTAGTGGATATTTTAAACCATAATAGTAAGCTAATTACTTTGATAGTTCATTGGTAATGAATGGTTCAACCAAAAATAGTTGTAATGGTAGTGACTTTAATAATAAGCCATCCCTAATACTAAACCAGGGGGAAATCGATTGCTATAGTGGTTTATTATTGGTTTATAATGGGAAAATTAATAATCTAGAGTGGGTATATGTTGGGGATATCAAACAGTCATCCAACCATCCAAATAATTGGTATTAGTGGATATTTTAAACCATAATAGTAAGCTAATTACTTTGATAGTTCATTGGTAATGAATGGTTCAACCAAAAATAGTTGTAATGGTAGTGACTTTAATAAAAAGCCATCCCTAATACTAAACCAGGGGGAAATCGATTGCTATAGTGGTTTATTATTGGTTTATAATGGGTAAATGAATAATCTAGAGTGGGTATATGTTGAGGATATCAACCATCCAACCAACTACAATTGGGATCTGTGGGGGGAAGAAGTGGTATAAATTTATCACTATGAGTGGCAACATGTTGAGGTAATGTGGTAAATCAAACAATAAACCTACCATTTGGGGATGGTTTATACCACCCATAAAAATGGTGATGACTTGGGGATGGTTTATTAGTGGGCTTCCCAGATTCTACCCCTTTCAGCCTTTGGTTGTTTGTTACCATAGCTAGATTTCAGCCATGGCCCATAGAAATAGATGATACTCATGATGATTGTCTATTAAAACTTGTGATTTTGCAGTTCGCTACCTTAAATAACCAGAGGGTATATGTTGAGGATATCAACCAAGCATCCAAACATGATGGAGAGTTTCAGGGAGTATAATATAGATGTAGATAGTGGGTAAAAACATGGTGATTAAATGGGTATATAATGGGTATATCAACCAGAATTGGTGTATAATGAGGTATATAGTCGGGATACGGTAAAATACTATCATGGGGATTTAATGGATATAACAGCCAGCCATAAAAAATATGCTAATGGTGTATATGGGTAAAATACCAATAATCATAATAGGGATTTGGCAACAATTTGCGGTTTTACACTGCAATATTGGATTTTGGGAGCAAATGTGAGGAGAATTGACGATTTCGGTATCAAACATGGCGCAACATTGGGATTTCAGCAGCAAAAACTTGGATTTAACAGTGAGCACTGGGAAGTAAAGGGGATTGTAACGGCCATGATGGAAAATTCCATGATTTTCCATGTGAATGGAGATTATAGTGGAGCTATGACGATCATCCACAACAAGATTTAACCATGAAACATAGGGATTTAACCAACTATCAACCGTTTGGTAAGGTATATGATCATTGGGATAATTGCGACAACTGAGATGATATCTATAATTTATAGCCCAATACATATATAATTATATATAGATCTATTTTCCTTGTGACCAAAGCCAATCTAAGCAACAATTTCTGGGGATACAATGGGGATCATAGCATGTGGATTCGACCTACCACAAAGGTGACTGTGACCCGTATAGGCCAATCACGGTTTATGATTTGGGCTTGTTGGCCACCAAAGAACAACTAATAAGACTAGTCGGGGTTTATTCACCATCGATTATCATGAGGGCGGTCACAATGGTTTTCTAGATGTCTAAAACTCATTGTCATCATTGGGATGATGACAATTGTTTATAACGCTTAATATGGTCATAACTATCCCCATAGAATGATTTTGGTCTCTTACATGGGTTGAGGATTTAGTTGCGTTGACAATGACCTCGTCGCAAGCAGAAAACTCTGATGTAGCCCCCATCCTGCAGCCCGAGCATCATGAAGAAGAAAAGGATTGCCTCAGACACCGATGGTCCACTGTGACGTGCACTTGGGTAGTTGCAAGGTTGTGCCCCACATCCCCCGGTTATAAGTTGGCTTATAAACCATAGTAAGTTATAGATATACCTACCATAAACCATAGTTATTGGAGTTATAAACCAACTTAGCTACTATGGGGCACCACCTTGTACGATCCATGAAAGTTATACTGTCGGCCACACCCTGCCTTCCCCTGAGCCCCATGAAATACAGAGGTTCGTCCAGGCCAAGGAACGAAGAAGAAGCTCCCCGGCATCTGAGAGATGGCAATGGGAAAAGCTACAAAGGCCAACCCTGGCGACACGAACCAGAGGTACCTGGAAATGGGATAAGGTGTACCCTTTTTCCCTCAAAATGGATCAAATTGAAACCATTCAAAATGGTGAACAAATGGTGATTCGATCATGAATCATAGAGGATTAAAAAAACAACTGATATACCCCCAAATTGTGGCCATGTTTAAAAATGATGAAAAAAAACCCCATGCGAAGCCGTAGGATTTGGGGTACCCTATGACAAACCCAGAAATGATAAATGTGGGGATATCAGCACCATGGGCAACCAGCATCAGTGAGGATATTTCTCTTGGTTTCTCTTGTGAGATACATCTTCTGATCATATTTCATTGGCACATCTTGGTAGTTCAACATTGGAATGGATAATCCAACTTTTCATAGGGAAATATGGTAGAATCCCTGGTAGAATATGGTATAATCATTTGTAAAGGTCACATTTTCCCCAGGTGAAACGACTGAAGGGTACCTTAGCTCCTACCTTAGCTCCCACGGAGGACCCCATTGTCGCTGCACATACCTTTGATGCCCTGGAAAAAATACATCTCGTCGGCTGATGGATATATGTTATGTGCATACTATTACGACTATCCTCACTGGCACAAAAGATTCAGTTGTATTTTTCAACGGTCAAACTGACTTTAAGAAAATACATCTTGGTAAATGTTCATCCAACCATCCCACCCGCATTTTTCTGCCTAAAAACCTCTATATTTTTTTGGGGTCACCAGGACAACTGCTTTGAGAGGTCCCACCCTGTCCTGTGCCGGAGAGGCCAATGGATTTCAGGCTATCCAAACTGTCTCCTGCAATGCATGGATCCGTCCTTGGTAGCGAAACTGGGTCAACTGTGGATGGTATACTCCTACTGGAGTATATAGTATATATGTACAGTCTTTATGTATAGTATTTATGTATAGTATATATTTATAGTATTTATATATATATAAATATCCGAATTTTTAGGATGTTTCTGAATTGGAAGGAAAAACGTAAAGAGAAACCACTGATCAAATCCGGAATTTTGAGTGAAACTTCAGGCAACTCCTATTGATGGTTGGACATGGTTGGACAGTTGTCTCTAAAAATGTGTATTGGTTAAAATTAGGTACCAAACATCGGGATGCTCCCCAAAATTCACAAACATCTGTGGTTCGCAGATTTCGCCCAAATCACCTTGCGAATTCATTCAGCTTCGTCTCAAAATGGACGCCAAAATTTTGGGTTTCAATTGTTGAGACCCCAAATAACCATAAATAACCCAAGGAGCTTGTGCAATTCCGCAGCCAGAAAGCCTTGCGGTGGTGCAGCTGGTGACTGGTGGGTGACATCGATGGATCATCCAAAGGGATGGGAAAGGCCACCAGCCGTGACTGTGAAAATGGAGCATGCCACCAATTCATGGCCAGTTGAGGGGTGCGTTAATTCCTTTCTCCCAGATCTGGGTTACCTTTTTTGGGTAAAGTCACAAGGGATACACGTTCTTCATGGATTTTCATAGATTTTCTAGGGATGGTTTTTCACCCAGTTGGGTACCCTAAATATCCATTTGATCCATTTAAGGTCGTCAAAAAATTATCTCCGGCCATTTCTCCTATCTGCCGAGAACCGGATTCGCCTAGAACCGGAAAGGTCACGCAGCCAGCTATGAGTGATGTGCAACAGTTGGTGATAGCCACCTGAGGACACCCAAACCACCCAGGTGGAAAAGACGATTTTCACTGGTACGTGGGCATTTTGGGAAGAGGAAATGGATGATTTCACTGCAAATGTGTAATACTTCGGACTTGATCAAAATTGTGATTTGAGCATGAAACAGGTGGCTTTAAGCAAGGAATTAAAATCGGCTCATGATCATGATGAGAATGGAAATCCCATGTTTTGTTCATGGAAATATGGAGAATGGATCAAGTCATTGGGGTGTCATTTTTGAGTGCCTCGATTCGACTCCATCAATTGGGTCCGAATTCAATGGTCTCTGGGTGGCTTCCCCTTCCCATTGAAAGAATCAACATCATTCTCATGATCGAACATGAGTTTGCCTATGTCATTGACTTGGACCCACTATGACCCAATACTTCGCTGGGAATTCTCACAACAATTTATCAAAACAAAGGATTTGATATATATATATACAGTATATATTATATATATACAATATATATATACAGTATATCATATACGTACATAGTCACATGATGTCACATTGCCAAACCTTCGCCTGCGAACAACAAACTGCTTCGCAATGGTTCGTATGGATCCTACAAAATTCTCCGAAACGACCCGAGCGAAGTATTGGCAGGCCCCGAGGAACTCCAGATGCGTCCCGCACGAAGTTGGCGGATTTCTTTCCGAAGGAACCGAAGGAAGTGATGCTTCCGTAGCCTCAGATGTCATCGTGATGCGAAGAGGCGTACGGCAACCAAATGGGATACATTGCTGATGTAACCCCTGCTTCAAATTTCGTTACCCGATCTTCAAAAGCACCGGGATGAATGGCTTAAAATGGCATCCCAGAATGGAATTGCAATCCCTTGAGGCACAAAAACCAACAAGTTGTGACCATTCTTCCAACATCTCTGCTCTTTGGATCAGGACTTTGCTAACAATCGAACGCCATATTCCCAGAACAATGCTTAGATTGTCAAAATAAAAAACACCATTCACCAGAAATTCCCCAAATGGTGGATCTCTCATGGGCAAAATGAAGCAACAAACTCAGAACAATGTCACCGCCGTGAACGGACAATGGAAAAGTTGATGGTATGGTCTCTCAGTGCTGGGAGCTGGCGAATTTGGCGTAGGATTTCGTCATGTTCAGCCAGGCTCCCATCCAGATTCACAAGTTGTGTCAGCACATCATGCCCTTCATACCCAAGTTCGTTCTTGATCAGTTCAGATCAGTTCAACCAGATCTGGGCTACACTTGAGTTCAGAATGGGTCCAAGTTCGTGTGCTCAGGTTGTCAGGTCGTCCCTGTACTGCATCAGTTTACTGGCCACCGTGCTGGCTACCATCCACCAAAAGAAGCCAGAAGGGAAGCCAGAAGGGAAGCCAGAATATACAGAGAAACTGCTTACAACACCCCCTCCACCTTCCGCAGGAATCTCGAGAATTGATGCAGAGATGATCATGAGAGAAATGTCAATGAACAACCCCCACACAAAGCTAACGCAAAGAGTTCGGCAGGTAGATATGACATCTTCTAAAACCTGTGCAAGTGTTGTACAAGTGAGCACATATTGGCAAAGCTACCGTACACATGGCTGGAAGGAGCAAGCTACAGCAAATCAATCAATTTCACCAAGGGTCTGTCCTGAAACAGACAAGTGCAAAAGTTCAAACCAGTGGGTGGGCTCAAGCAATGAAACTTGCACCCCAACGCCAAGTATATATATATATGTATATCAATCAACCTCATATTATCGCAGCATAACCATGCACTTTAGCATCAAAAGTTCTCAAGAAACACTAACCAAGAATGCAACATAAGATCATAACTTCATAACATCACAACCACCACACTATCCCATGCTCCCCAGAAGCACCCCTTTATACTTCCTTTTCTGCGGACATTGCTGATGACACCCTGCTTGCAATTTCCGCGACCCCCAATCTTCAAAAGCACCTGGATGAATCAAATCTGGCGACCGCCCAGAATGGCATTGCACCCCCAGAACCGCCAGACAGCCACAAGTTTTAACACAACCCTCAGCATGTCCCAGGGTCCAGGGTCCAGTGCTCAAAACTGTGCAGCCAGGTGTCCAATGCCCAAGGAGAAGAAGATTTGGATGGCACCGTGGATCCAGACTTGGGGATCCGATAGATGGCTATAATCCTCGGACGGTGATCTGTTTGAGTTCTCAATCCAAAGCACCAAAGAAATGCCTTGATATCCCCTTGAAGGTCAGTGAAAGGTGACATAACCCCAAGATACCCCAAGCGTTTGTCACTTTCTGCTTGCAAACGCACCTGTTCTCATGCTTATTCGACAATCTTTCTTGGGCATTTTGGGGTCGTTTCCCCTCAGAACCCCCTCTGGGCATTGGAGATTTCGCGCAGTGAGCCATGGCCCTTGAAAGTCAGAAGGTTGCATTCAATAATTGAATATCACCAAGCCATATCCCCATTATTTGGTTCAATCCCCCCATGAAATTCCTGATCTCCCCATTTTTCAATCTCACCATTCTGCCCAGGCGTCGGGTTCAAAGAGGAACTTCAAGCCCGTCAAGGCATTGGGCAATGTCAAGGCTCGGACCTCAGTGCAGCAGTCACTTGACTTGAGACCTTTGGTACTCATCTTCATTGCTGACTTGAATAATTATCTTAGTACACCATTGGTACACCATTGGTTATTATCTTAGTACAGACAGAACACCTCATTATCTTGCTACACCATTGGTTACTTTTGAGGTGCTCTGTCTTGACATATCTCACCAACGACAGCGTCCTATATGAAGCGGTTGAAAACCAGTCCAAGTTCAACGCGAAGGAACAAGGAAAATCGCCAGGCAGAGGTATGGAAAGGTTGCAGTGAAGTAGACCACCTTTCCACTACTCTTCACACCATTGAAGACCTCAATTGTGCACAGATGGGACAATGTTGGGCTTCAAACTCATCCAAATTCCAGGTGCCCCCCGGGGGGTGACCATTTGGGCTGGTTGCACACTAGAAAATCATGGAAACTGCCCATCTGCAGCCATGCTGCGACCAGCCAAATCAAGACCCATGCGATGGTGAGACACAAGAGCATCTCCAGATTCAAGCCTCACACGAAACGATACCGGGAGCAAACCATCCGGAGTCATCTGAAACAAGCGTCCATGTAATTCTAGAGAAACAACACTTCAGGAAGTATGGCTCAAAGTTCCAACCAATCAAATCAATTCAACAAAGCCATTTTTGTGGGCTATGTCCACAAGAATGGATGATTTATTCTCGGGCAACGAATGGATTAATTGATGGGTCATGTTGCAACGTTGGATGCGACCGGTAGATCCCCACCTCCAAAGTCGTCCAGTCCTTGGTGAACCGCAGGATGATCCTGTGGATGGTGCAAACATCACAGAGAGTAGTTTCAACTGGAAAACATTGGCAGGACAAGGCGCAGATATATGATGATATATGATGATTTATGACTTATAAACAAATTTGAACAATATCCCGCACAATTGCTAATCAATTACACCAAAATGGATTGCAATGGCTTTAAACGGATTTGAGCTCATGTGGGACCTCTTGTGACAGGCTGAGACATGTCTATATCAAGCAGCCATGCAACGGTACTGAGCGATATAGAATCAAACAAGGGAAACTGATGGGAAAATGGCAGGATAATTATATAATTAACATTTCATGTTTCTTGGGACCAACAATCAACCGCTACTTAGCCACTCTTCAACCATTCTTTAACCATCAAGGAAATAGCCATATTTATGTCAATTTTCAGACCCAGCTCATCTTCCTGGTTGTATCTGCCTTTTCGTGACATTTTCATGCCATTTTCAGGTGCATCCGAGACTCCGCTGCTCTGTTTCAATGCTTGCGCTTCCCAAAAGATCTTCGCCATTTGAGCTGCCACGAGGCGCTGAATCAGAAACAGCACTTTTTTTCGCCCCAAAATTCACTAGCGAAGGGTGAAGATATCCAAGCTTTAATTCAACCAGCTACTCCAAGCACTGCAGATTTTTTTGCTGAGAGCTGTTGAAGCTGCCAACATACTTTGACCATGGCTGAAATCTGGAAATCACCAAGACTTTGGGGGAAACATTCCCCAGAAATTCAGGATGGAAAATGGGTAACTTACTGGTGCTTAGCAGGGAATGAGGGAATGATCCACAATCACTAGTAATAATCATCCCAGCAACCCCCATTCCCATCCATTCCCTACTAAGCACCAGTAAGGTAAATCATCCAAATCCACCATTTTTGGCCATTCAACAAAATCCCGCCTGGACATCTGTTGGGTTGAACTGTGCGCCTTGGGACATCGTGTGCAGAAAGCTTGGGATTTGACCTTAGGAATACCTACTGGATTGTTTCTTTTTGGGTAGATCCCAGTTACGATTTTCATGACAATTTTCCTGGGGAACATGATCTTCTGGTCTTGGAAGCAACCCAACTTCAATGCTTTTTCATTTCACAGGGTGGTTGGTGGAGAAACTAAGTGCTGTATTTGAATTTTTCTCTGTTTACAACTGGGTTACCCGCTGGTAATTTAACATAGCTATTCAAAATTGCCGTTTATAGTGAGTTTTCACATGAAAAATGGTGATTTTCCATAGTTATGCTAGTTTACCAGAGGGTACACCCCCCAGCCCGTTATTGGGGTGATCCTTCAAGTACCCTACCGATCAATCGCCAAGCTTCACGACGTAATCTGCTGGAGCAGTCGCTGCCTGAAGATCGCAATATCCAACTCATTCGAAGCTTGGGATGTGTTGCTTAGCAACATCCAGAAGTGTGGTCTAAAATCATTCCAAACCTTTCTTTGGATAGGTTGTACCTTGCCATCTTTAGACTTTACCATTATACGAGTCCCATCCATTGAGACGAAAGCCCATCACTCTTTGGTTCTGAACCCGTGCTGTTCAATTTCAATTTGATGTGGTCCAATCAACAATAATATCATATATCAACTTCAAAATCTATTCTCTGCATCAACATGATGATTCACCAGTGGATAAAAAAGGCTTGTTTTTTGCCCAACGAAAACCATAGAGAAACCGCAATCCGAGCGACTCCATGAGCATCGGGACACCAGGTGTTGCCAACAAAGCTGGAGTTCAGGAACCCCGCACTGTCGATGAGGTAAGGACTATTCGCCACTGTCTGAGCGAGTGCACAAGTCTGTGGATGGAAATCAGCACTTGGTATCCCAATTTTGAGACGATCCTCAGCCTTTTTCTGATCTGACCCGATGGGCCACTGGGCATCAATCATGTCCAGAATTTCCCAAATCATCATGAACTGCCACATTTCCTTCCGGGATTGGTTCTAAGGGAACATAAAAAACAGGAACACCCGATATTTCATGGGTTTTCCGGTGTAGATTTTCCCATCCAATCCATTGATCTTCGCCTGGTGCACGTACAAGTTCATGGCCTTGGTGGCCGATGGGAGGCAGTTGGGCAGTTGGTCGACCTCCAGGTGAATCTAATGGAAAGTTCACGCATGGGAAATCATGTGACTGGTGGGTGATCTACTAACATATACCAAAATCATTGACATCTGGGATCCATACCAAGGATATCAGTGAGATATTTCATTCGGATTTCAGCCATGACCCAGCAACCCAGCAATTCCAATGGTCAACCGTCTGCAGCCGGCAGCCCAGGTGCAGGGCAATCCTGGAGTTCATCGCTCCACGGCAACTGGCCCGATGGGATGGCTGCGATGGTCCTGGGAAAATCAACAGCCCATGGATTTCCCAGGGATTTCCCATGGATTTTCGGCACGTGGAGACCAAAAAACACCACTTTTGATGACCCCAAAACTAGAGATGTTGACTTCACAGTCAGCATCCCACTGGGAATTAAAACGACCACGACCATCACGTCCTGCCCAAGTAATAAATCGTCCATGCCAAGATGGTGATGTAGTACAGGGCCACCAAAAAAGTCGTCATAATGGCAGCTAAGCCTTCAAATTGTCACACAAGTGAGGTGGTGCATTGTACATGCAAACTGTTTGCGTGTTTCAAACTTCGAAGTCTGCATGCAGTCTCAACCAATAGGCCAACTGGGTATGGCAAGGATGTCTGTCACTGGCTTAGACAACGATCATCAGTACAGGGGCTATTCATTCCTATTTTCTTTTGTTGCCTGACTCACGACAAGTAAACCAACTCATTCTTTATCTGGGTTTGTCTGAAAATACCCCCAAAATACAATGGATTGTCATCATCGTTCCGAAAAACAGCGCCATGGGGTATCCCCTATATTCAAACAAACCTATCTGTCGATGTCTCGCTTGCCTTTGCGACGTCGCCCCAACGGCCCGGCGGAAAAATGCACTATGTAACCCGTGAATACTGAGGGGTTTCTCCTAAATTGGTAGGATTCCCCATTTTGTGGCAAAAAAACATGGGGAAGATGACTGGTTGGTGGTTGACCTACCCCTCTGAAAAATATGAGTTCGTCAGTTGGGATGATTATTCACAATATATGGAAAAAATGAAAAATGTTCCAAACCACCAACCAGATGATGATTAGTGGATTGGATTTAGGTGCAGCCTTTTTTTGGATTCCTTGGTGTATCCAGTGAAGTGCGACATGCTTTCCCTTGGCCCATCCTTCGATGATTTTCCCAGATCGAAACGTTGAGTTTGGGGATCTCCCAGCCATGACACAGGATGGTACTTACTTCTGGACCAAACATCTTCATCTCTGGTGACTGGTTCCCAGGTTTTTGTTCTGGAATTGTCCCAATTTTTCGGCATTGTCCCACTGGTGCACCCCAGTCCATCATGTTTGCAATGGCATTTTTTGCCTCGTTGGACAAATTAGACGAAAGCGCGAGACTCATGCCTAGTCGTCACGCCCGTGTGCTGAAAATCGCAGTTTCCCCCATCTAAATGCAGTTTCCAGGAAGTCATGCCTATGTCATGCCTATGTCATGCCTGCAACCCAAATCACCATCTAAACGCAGCGGAAAGCTCGGCTTCATTTTGATATGTTTTGATTAACTGATACCAGTAGTACCACACAAAGCGGTGGCGGAAGTTTCAAAGATAGTAAACCTATAGGAAGTGTTGGGGTTGTTGAGTTGCATGTGCGGCAGAGCAAGCCGCTGACGGATCGATTTTGATAATGGTTTGTTGTAAAATAAATAGTGAGTCTAAAAAAGAAGTGTGAGATAAGGGATATGATATATTGTAGAAAAAGAAACGACGTCAGAACGACGTCCGAACGACGTCAATTTTTTGCCTAGGAAAGGCCACTCCCCACCTGATGGCTCAACAACGTGAGACTCATATATTGATATATTAATGGCTTAAACATATTTAAACATACATTCTTCTTCATGGCTTAAATCCCAAATGTTTTTCTGGTTCAATCATGGTGAATTCCACCTTTTGCATCCTTTTGGCTGGTTCAAACAGTTACCATCTGGTTATTTAACAGTTCGCCATGGAAAGATCCACCATTTTTAAGTTCGGGAAACCATCTATTTCTATGGGCCATCTATTTTCCATGGCTATGTAACAAATAACCAGAGGGTAACCATCATTAACCATCATTAACCATCATTTTAAAACCATTATTAGCCATTAACCATCATTAACCATCATTAACCATATATTAATCATATATTGACCAGCATTTCTGGACACCGAACCGTGCCATGACTGGTGACGGACCGCACCTACGCCCTGCCAGCGCGGCAAGCCGATCTTCGTCCACATCCCCAGGGTGCCACGTCTGGTGAGCTGTCCCAGGCCCAGTTCCAGCACGAACAAAGGAACACCTCGGGCATCTGCGGTGGTCACTCATACAACATGGTTACCATCTGGCTATATATGGTTAATATATGGTTAATATATGGTTAATATATGATTACCATCTGGTTATTTAACATAGCGAACTGGACAATCCACGAAATAAATGGATATAAATGGAGGTTTATAGCTGGGAAAATCATCTGTAAATGGGCAATTTTCCATAGCTATGTTAAATAACCAGAGGTTATAAACTGCAACTAAAAGGCACATCAGCTAAATCTCTCCACCACTTCTTGTTGGTGGCTGGGAAATTATCTCTGACTGATAACGTGCAATTCAGTTCTAAGTGGAATAACACCTTGGCAAAAACCAGGGTGGCAACCCAGTTAGAGATGGGCCAGGTGAAAAACAACCATCAAACAGCTTTCGAGTGTCACTCATCCACATCACCAAGCATGGCACCACTACAGATTCAGCATCGTCATATTGCTCTCATTGGGACTTTATGTAGAACTCAGCACGAATAAGAATTGAAATGCGACCAGTTCAAAACAGCGATGCATACCACAAGTTCTTTGCG